AAAAACAAACAAGCTTTGAGGTAAAAAAAATGCGAAAAGTTTTTTCTTTGTTAAGTAGTGAATGTGGTGAATAAATGGCAGAGGCTTATATTTATAATATATGCAAGGTACTGCACGTGGGTATTTTTTAGGGTTTTAACTGTGATCTCCATAGTGAAAAGAATTTTTGTACACGCGTTTACCTTGTTTTGAATATATTATTTTAAAACAAGTGGAGTGTGTGTTGTCCGTTTATTGTTCGAATTTATCGCCAACAAGTCACAGACACCTACTGTATAATGGTCTGTTTCTTCTGTGTCACGGTTTTTATGATGTAGGCTGGGATTATTTACAGTAGGTGTCTGTGACTTGTTGGCGATAAATTCGAACAATAAACTGACAGTTTGAATATTGAATGGGAAATCCCATAGCCAACGAATGCGATTTTATCTTGTGTAAGATTCCTGTATAATAAACCAACATATTCATCGCAATAATCCAATAGTGGTAAAGCTATAAAACCAGTATTGACTAAAATGTTTCTCAATGATTTCCGAGTGTACCAAGAAGGAATACAGAAATTCTTATTGTAAAATGAACTGATACATGAATTGACAATGTAGGCCGTTACTGTAGTCTTCAGAAAGTTAAATATCAGACTTACTGATGTAAAAAAGAACGGGAGACAGATTCTAGTATCTCAGAAGTAAAAACAAAAACGATGTATAAATAAAGAATCAAAATACTTAGTTGGATTCTATGTTTCATATTCAAGTTTTATATATCTGACATATTGGTAAATTTTCAATTCTACAACTATTGAAAATAGAACAATGCCAAGAGTACAGAAATAGAACAATGCCAAGAGTACAGAAATAGAATAATGCCAAGAATACAGATAATGCTTCCGGGTATCCACAAATCCATTATTTAACTTTCTCAGACCATAACTTTTTTTTATTATTATTATAAAAATGCCTTTTGGGTCGGAAGGTTCTCTTTTATAGCCATAATACTTACTTTGCGGATGAAGACGTTACTTTTGATTGGCTTAAAACAGCTTACTATTTTCAGTATACAGTTTACATGATTTATAATATTCAAGTACTTGCAGTAGATTGTTCATGTATGTACATTTTTTGGATGAATAATGTCTTGTGGATTAACGTTGCTTCATTTTGCAGTCAATTAGGATGCTCAAGATGTGTTGTGATCTACGAGAAACATCCCAATGTTCTACAATATAGAGAAAGTAAGTTGGTTTTCTAAGATCTTATAAGAAACTTCTTTTTTAATACATTAAGAACTATAACATAATTAAGTGAGAGATGTAAGCTATTTGTTTACGGTGTATACATGGATTTAATTAGTACAATGAACATCGATTGAAAGAAAAACGAACGGAGTTACTTCTAGGACATTGACCATTAGTCAAGTATTTAAATTAATGAGGTAACGTTTTCAGAGTTTATAATATTGAATTACTTTGTGTCAAAATATAAATTAAAATCGACTAGGCAATGAATTTGAGTTTTATATAGATCTGACTATTTTGAATAATGCCTAAGGAAAACACAGGGAAATCAAATTTCAAAAATAAAGATTTAATTAATGCTTGCCAAACTGAATTATGTAGATAAAAGCTTTTCGAACTAGTTCATAGATTTTCTCGTCATTCAGATATCATGTAATGACGATACACTATGTATGCTGAATCGTCTCGGAATATATCTGGTAAAACATTTTTTTATACAAGTATGTGTGTGTCTGAAATGCCTGACTGGTTCATATATATAATTATAGATAATATATTATTTGGACTACTCTTGTAAGACCGAATAGTGAGGTTTGACTGTCATTCTTATAACGCACTCTCGCCCCTAATGACTTTGAATTGTTTGTCAGAATTATTGTACACCACGTGTTTTTTTTTAAAGATCGAGTAAGTGGTTTGTTTGTTTGTTTTTGAATTTCGCGCACAAAGCTACAAGAGAACTATCTGCGCTAGCCACCCCTAATTTAGCAGTGTAAGACAAGAGAGAAGGCAGCTAGTCATCACCACCCTCCGCCAACTCTTTGGCTACTATTTCACCAACGAATAGTGGGATTGACCGTCACATTATAACGCCCCCACGGCTGAAAGGGCGAGCATGTTTGGTGGGATGCGGATTCGAACCCGCGACCCTCAGATTGTGAGTCGAGTGCCTTATCCACCTGGCCATGCCGGGCTACAAATAGTGATCCATGGGAGCATTAATTGACATAATAGGGTTCAATACAAATTTCTCAGCTATTTTTTACTTATTTACTCTCTTGGCGTACCCTAGAGTTTAGTGTACTGCGCAACAGATTGGAAAGTCCAAGGTTCGAGTCGCGATATGACGCCTTCAGCTTTGTGGAATGCTATATTTATAGCGTTCAATATAGCTGTTCGGTTAAAAGTAGCCGCATATTAGGCGGCGAATACTGCTAACTGGACGCTTTCCAACTGGCCAGCAGTTAGATTCTAAATTAGGGATAACAATGTCTGAACTTCAGAGGCTTCTGACCTTGATGCTTTACTCATGCGCACATAAGTTGTTATTCAAGTTGAAATTAATAATACGAATACCAACGTAACCCTTTTAACTTTCCTTTACCTATTTCAACATATAGAGAGGATTGTATTTTGCGAAGTTTCGCTCTTGCTGTAAGCACCTTACTTTCTCATTTGTCTTCTCTCTTGTTTCTGTACATTCTTCATTCTTTGCAGAATGTCCAATATTTGTTACTAGCTTATATATAAGAATATTTACCTGGAATTCAACCTTTTTATAGTTGTGATGAAATTACTTGAAGAACTTATTTCAAGTTTATGTTCATCATTTTTTTTAAGTAACTCAGCATTTTCGTTAAACATTGTTTATTTACTTTTGGGAAGTGATGTTGCTATGGGCAGAATGCTACACTTTAGGAAATAAGACAGTAAACACTAGAAACCTGCGTATCTGACGTAATGTAATGGTTAAGTATAACATGGGAATATTCTGAAGTACAGACATGCCCGAGAACCAAATTTCACTATTATATATGTGTATTTGTCCATCATTATTCAGTTTCGTCTTCCTTCCTGGTTGTCGCTGTCAATGCAAAGGTTATGCACCACCAGGATTCTTCTAAGTTCTGCTTTTACAGCTGTTCGATGTGATAGAATTTGATACATATGTATCCGTGTTAGGCCATCAGTAACCAGTTATGTTATGTAGAAACTATTTGAGTATAAGAACATGATTGTAGCATTGCACTGATCCACGTTGGTTGCTGGTGGTGGATAATGTTGAATGGCTGCCTTTTCTCGTCACTGACACTTCCATAGAATAGTTGAATATATCTAATGTTTCGAAAACTATTCAATATTCTTCTCTTTACAGTCAGCCTCCCCAGTGGCACAGCGGTATGTCTGCAGATTTACAACGCAAGAAACCGGGTTTCGATACCCGTCGTGGGCAGAGCACGGATAGCCCATTGCGTAACTTCGTGCTTAATTCCAAAGAAACAAACAAACTTTACAGTAAAAAAATATATGTTTACTGTCTGGTCTATTACAAAAAATTAAAAAAAGCTTTGTTTGTTTGTAATTAAGCACAAAGTTGCACAATGGGCTATCGGTGCTCTGCCCACCACGGGTATCGTAACCCGAATTCTAGCTGTGCCACTGGGAGACATTAAAACAAATAGGAAACAACAAAAAAACACTCTTACAACTTTTACTATTATAGCTGGCTGTAAAATAACAAGTTTATTTAGCTTTTAAGTCATGTTTTTAGAAAATAAACACCGTGTTTTGCAATAAATATTTCTTAAGGAATTTTTCAGAATAAATGTCACACGTACAACAATCTGAATTGAAATACGCCTCTAGGTAGCTTTATCAGGATTAGTATTTTTCTTCGTAAACAATTAAACTGTGAACAATCAAGTATAAAAGACTAAAATACCACCAATAAAACAGATTGGTTATTAAATTAAATGATAGCTTTATCCGGTATTTTTATATAGTCTTTTTTTATCGATTTCTTGAATTTTTAATCATATGATTAAATTAGCAATGTATTCAAGAAATCAAAAATCGTTTCTTAGAAAAGGCGTAGTGGAACACCATATATAAATAATCAATAACTTAGTCTATACTTAATTGTGTAAGCCTATTAATGAACCGAAAAGTTTCCACGGACGTTTAATCCAATAAATCACCATTATTGTATTAATTAGGCTCTCGAAGATGAAGTAACCAATTTATCAAATTCATGCTTATAAAGATTATACATACGCATGTATATATTATGAAGTTCTAATGTGGCTTAGCGGTAAGCTTAAAGGCCTTTGATACACTAAAATTCGATGTTCGATTTGTGCAGTGGGCGCAGTTAGCCCATTGTGCAGCTTTAAGCACAAACAAGCAATACTTCAAAACTCCACATTTAACTCATAAATAAAACACTTTGTTGAATTCTGATATAATGAAAATATAATAATGTTTTATATAAACAATAAAATAAAAATTAATGAGTTGATCAACTTTAAAAATTATATTATTGCCATTTTTAGCTGATCGCACATTGTTGTCAAAACGCTTTATTTAAGGATTGAAAATTACAGATTAAAATCTGTGCCAGTGATTTTTCCAAATCATTTTAAGTTACCAAATTTGAAAAAAAAAACAATAAAAAACATTTGAAACTCTTAGTACAGTAAACTCTGTAATATTTTTTCTTCGCGCTCTCCAGTGGCACAGTGTTATGTCTGCGGAG